GTGTGCCGGGTGGTCTCTCTCTCTCTCTCTGCCAACCCGGATGTTGGTGACGTGGCGGTGGGCCTGTGGCCTCCCCGGACACCACCGCCGCAGCTCTCGAGTCTCCGCCGCTGCCACTGGGAGCTCAACCGAGAGCTCAGCTGCCAGCACCGAACAAATGTGTCCAACAGTCGCTGGAGCCCCAAACAAACGGCTGTCGCTCGCTCGCTCCCGCTGGCTGTCGCTCGCTCGCTCACGCCGGATGGCTATCGCTAGCTCACGCCGGCTGGCTATCGCTAGCTCACGCTGCCTCGGTGGTCGAGTGAGTTCAGCCACTGCCGTCGCCTTCGTCACCGCCACCGCCGGGCTCACCGATCTCTGGAGCCCCAGACGAACGTCGCTGTCACTCGCTCTCACTGGCCGATGTCGCCGCCGTCGGGTTCACCGATCACTGGAGCCCCAAACGAACGCCGCTGTCGCTCGCTCTTGTTGGCTGTCGCTCTCTCTCGTTGGCTGTCGCTCGCTCCAGTCAAATAAGGAGAGTATCAGCAATTATCTTTTTTTAATGCACTGGAACAATCAAACACAATAATTTCAAAAAAAAAAAAAATTAATCCTTTTCAAGAAAATGATCTGTTACCCTGTCATACCAACAAGGTGTCTTTCCCAGGGTCTTAACTGGGGTGATATAAGTCAGTCTGCGAACACAAGCAACTACAATAAAACACACCAGAAATAAAAGATTAATCTGTCGCTAGTCGTTTTTAACAAAGAGAGTGTCACGAAGATGATTAGAAGAAGTCTCCAGTTCCAACTCAGAACAGAATGAGAATTGAAAAATGCTCCCACGGATGCCTACACCAAAGGATCGGTGATTGGCTCATTTCTCTGTCAATCAAAAAGAGATTCAGCTTCAGACAGATCATCCAATCATCATGCAGAAAAGCTGAGCGTCCAGGTTAGCCCATAAATGCCCACTGTCCATACACTCCCAGAGACGCTGAGCGTTCGATGGGCGGGACAAAACCAGCATTTATCCAATGACTCGTCTCGTTTCAATGCATTGGGACTACTCTCGAGACGCCCAGCGTCCACGCTGTACACGCTCAGCGTCCACGCAGTTTAAAGCACAGTGAAGCTGCGGGAATGAATGAGAAGAGAGTCGCATCGTAACCAGTAGTAAGAAGCTGTGATTCGGAACAGAAGTTGAGCGCCTTGTAGCGCATATTTAGTCAATGACATGCCCACACAATTGTATGTACACACATATATTTGGTCACTTCTTTTTTGACATTTTAGGGGAAGCTGAGCTTCCATTGCAGTCTGAGAGCAATCGCCTCTGACACACACACACACACACACACACACACACACACACACACACACACACACACACACAATACTACTATTTCAGTAAATTACTCTACAGTACCATTTCAACATTTTCAGCATTTGAATCATTGAGCACCCACAAATAAATTACACAGATACTTTACTCAACTGTCTGTGGTCAGATTGGGATGGTAGGCCTACAGGTAAAATGCACTTAAGATTCCCCCAGCAGAGGACAAGAGGGCAGGTTGGTGTTGAGGTGACTCTTCATGCACGCATATCTGACTCGTGGTGGAGCAGTTTGGATGCAACCATTTTTTTTTTTTTTTTCTTTGAAAGGGATCAGTGTGGAAGCAAATTGTAAACTGACTGCTGATTGAAACGTTTATATGGGTAACATCACAAGCTATTTAATTTTTAATGTAGTCATGTATTATTAATAGATTCATTGCCCACAATAAGTGTGGCAACTGGGGTGGCATTTGGTGGGGAGGTGGAAGCGACCAGCACCAGCTGCCAGAGATTCAACCCTTCTAAGATATGACTTCTTTCTCTGTCCCCCATTTCATACATTTTTCAATTGTAGCTTGCTAAAAATGAGACTAGCAACTCCTGCCCTGTGTCTTGATTCATCCAAGGAAAATAATAGCTGGTTGAATCCTTTTTTTTTTTTTAAGTTGATTTTAATTTAGATGGGTTTCCTGTCAATATGCTACATGGTCTTGTTTTATTCTTATTTTAGCTTGAGTTTTGCAATGTTTAGCTGGATTTCATAGCCCAATGAAATGAAAAAAAATGACTGTCACTGATTATGAGCATTCACTTGCCATTATGACATTAAGATTGATATGAATCAATCACCAAATCTGCCCTTTTCACCTTAGAAATATCTACACTTCTGTCAGTCTCAGATTAAATTGCCAAGACCCTCATCCATATATTTGTCACATCTGGACTGTTGTAACGGAGTCCTCTTTGGGCTACCCAGCAAAGCTCTGGATTAGCTCCAAAAATTTGCCTCCCAATACTTGTCAGACCTCCATGACCCATACACCTCATCCTGGGACCTTCAGTTCTCAAGGGCAATCAGTTTTGCACAGCAGAATGGTTTCACATAGACATATTTTGAGGACAATCGTCGCCAATGTGTAGCGAGACCCCCAAAAGCCCACTGCGCTCTGTCAACGTCCCGCGTGCCACAGTTTTCCAGGGGGTCGGTGACATGCGCGCCTATCTGGGTTCAGCTGACCTGAGGACGATTAAATCAGTTCATGAAATGATTTCCTTCATTGTGCTCAATCACAAAGTCAATCATAATTGACACAACAAAACACATGCCCCGTCAAAGTCTCTCCTAAAACCCAACCACTCAAAAAATGCCAGGAGTTCTGTCCTCAACATTTATACAATATTCTGTTCTACACATCGTGCAGCCCGTTGAATGAATCCAACTCAAAATTTGTCAGAAAAGCCATAAGACATTGATCATGCTCTACTGCGCGCATATTGTGACTTTTCGGCAAAGGGCCTGGGCATTACAGGGTCTGATGTTCCATTGTGACAATAAACGTTGCTTGCTGTCACTTGACTTGATTCTATCTTGTTCAAATTTCACTTTATTTGATGAAAAGTCTTAGCCTAAAGACATCTGAAGTCATTTTTCACTCTAGTGGTAGTTCCACCGACTGGCTATACACGTTGACCAGATTTATCTCAGATTTGCACGGAAGAGTGTTTAGGCCTTCACGAAGTTGCAAAAAGAAGTGTGATATTTCGCGAAAAGCTGTCGCCATGTCAACGCACTGTTCGGCATGAAAACAACAGTACTCTAAAGGCTCTACACATGCACAAAAACTCGTGAAACTTTGCAAACACATCAGTACTAGCAACAGCATCAATATTTGATTAGGTTATTGTGCGCGTTCTGTTTTTTTTTTTTTTAAATGATTCAACAATGTCCCCTAAAATTTTTTTATTTATTTTTTTTGCGGAAGAAGCGCTGGTTGTACGTGTCACCAAGATCAACTGCATTTTGGAGGTATAATTAACAGCCCAAGTTCTACTAAAAAGTTTCATGGAGCTGTTTGCTAAAGCTAACAGAAAGGCTTCCATTTTGAATTTTCTTTCACCTTTGGATCCATTTTTGGCCTTTTATAGAGGTCACATTTTTTTGAAAAGTCCAAGAGATGTTGCCTGATTGTCTTGAAAGTGTGTGTGTATCATTCTATGATATTCAAGGCGACCAGGAAAAAAGAAGCTTCTTATATTGCCGAGCGCTGTATCCATGGTGATGAGCTAATTTTGGCCAGTTAATCTGAATTTTATAAATTAATTTTGCTAAATAAATAAATAAACAAACAAACAAACAAACAAACAAACCACAAAAACAAATGGCTTAGTTGTGCCCACTACAAATGTTTAACGAAGCAGTCCTGGTTAAACATTTCACCAAGATCTCCCAAAAATTGGGGGCACATGTAAAAGCCCGTTACCATAAAAAAGTCTGGAACCTTCCTCAAAACTCAAAAGAAATTCAACCATTTTCCATTTCCTGATAAATTTCACCTAATTTTTGGCATTTATAGAGTTCATATTTTATCAAAATAGCTTTTAGTCTGATGTACTTTACATTTTAATGAAGATGACAAAGTGTCCCCAGGTATGTGGCGCGACACATCGACTGGACAAAAGGAGGCGAGTGGGGATAATAAATTATAATGCCCTTGTTTAAGTGCAATTGGTTTTGTTCTGGAGTGGACAAGCTTTGTCATATTGATAACATTTTCATGTTCGCAGTGCAGTATAGTTTTCTCATAGGATGGTGATATTTTTAGAGTTTTGGATGAATTGGTAGCTTTCACAATATTTATATGATTTTTGTTTTTCAGCCAGTAGACAAGGTTTGCCTCCTCTGTGTTAATCAATGGCTTTGTTTGGATAACATCTCTGATGTCCACAACTGCAGTTATTAGAAAAACACATTAGTGTTGATCAATCTGGGTCAGAATGCCTTCGTGAATAATTGATGGCTGTGCAAGCAAATTACATGCACACACTGACACATGCAAATATGATTGTACGCACGCAAAAAGCCAACAGATACTGAGTGTGTCTGATGGATTGATGATGAGAGACAAGAGGTGATCCACAGACCTAAACAAAAATATGCTTGGCGCCACATTGTATCGACAGTGGCCGCCTGAATGCTTGATTAGACTCTCCAGAGCCTCATTTGGTGTTGGCATACACACGGTCTCACACATTGGACTCCATTAGGCAAACACAGTGTACTATGCAAGACAGACTCCACTTAAGTAGCACTATCCTTTAATAAAGCCACAGAGGTGTTTTTGAGCCAGACACCCTGGCTGGGCTTTAAACAGACTCAGAGGAACATAATGCACACACATTGAGTGGATATACATTCCCTGGTGCACACACACTTAGTCACAACCTTTGCACATCTCTCTGCCTCAAAAGACTCCAATGCAGGAGCTGTGAATTTCAGAAAAATAAGTGCCGAACATGCTTTTCAACTGAAGACATCATTCTATTTTCAAACTAAATTTAAGCTTCACTGTAAACTCACCACTGTTGATTGTTTCTCCCTTTAGACTCTGAAGACCGGTCTCAGCATGGTTGGGAAGGTTGTGACCCAGTTGACTGGTAGTCTGCCAGCATGTACTTCAGAGGAAGAAGGGTCCCCTCACAACTTGAGTCGTCGTAGCCTCCATAACGCTGGTGTGGTCACAGTCATTGACAGTGATAAAGTTGGCGAGGGACAGGTCTGTCCATTTTTCTTTTGCTTCTGGTCATTGTGAAAGGGTTGATTCCATTTTTTAAAAATCATGTATTATTGTATTTATATATTGCGATTATAATTAAGGCCCGAGCAGCAACTGCTGAGGGGTCTCTACTGTTTTTCTCGAAATTAGTTTCGCCTGAGCAGTGTAGAAATTGTCATTAGGGCCTGATCAGTGGCTGCTGTGAGGTCTATGCTGTTTTTGTCAATTATTATTGTGATTATTATTTTTATTATTATTATTTTTATTATTATTGCTCGAGAAACAACTGCTGTGAGGACCCCATTGTTTTTGTAGGAATTTCTTGTTGTTGTTGTTGTTATTGTTCTTCTTCTTCTGCTATAATAATAATAATAATAATAATAATATTAGACACATGAGAGATGAAAAAAGTTGCATTAAAAAAAACTGGCATCTCAGCAAGGGCTGGTTAGACCTGTCCTCTTCCACTGACAAAGTCAAACATTATCATGTTATTTATCGAACATGATTTGGTCTTTTTCGTGCCAATCTGTTGGTTCGTCTCGGGTTTTTTTTTTTTTTCTTTCTTTCTTGCAAGTAATATTTGTGTCTGCTTGCTGCAGGTCCTGGTGAGCGAGGACTCAGAAAGCGAAGGATTGGTGGCTCATTTTCCAGCTCATGACAAACCCATATCCTGTATGCAGTTCAATCCCAGTGGTAAGACACACCCACAAGCATATGTTTAGTTTCTGATAAAGGGTATGTGAGCTCACATGGGAGCTGAGTTACAAAGTAGTGTCAAATTTGACTGTATTTGGCGTGGATGAAACTGCCTCATCACTAAATAAACATGTAGGAGTAAACCCTTGCTCTGCTGCAAATAAAAATCCGCAAAACAGATATATCTCTGTGACCTCTGATAAACACACACACACACACACACACACACACACACACACACACACAGAAAAAAGCCATACAGAAAATCAGCAAAATTCCCTCAAATTTGGTTCTTATTATTAAGCCAAAAAAAAAAAATGCTCGTGAAGGAAGTACAATTTCTTTGGCTATAATTTTAAAGCAAGTCAATAAACTGAGCCCCTTTAACACAGTAAAAGGTCTTCAAAAAAAAAAAAAAAATCCCAAAAGATTTATGTCCGAAATGTTTACTTAAAAAACTTATTTTTTCTTACTTCGACAATTTATACTTTCTTGGGGCTTAACATACTAAATAAAGCTTACAATAGGAAATATTTTTTGAAACAGAGCATGTGGTTTCTAGTTTTTGCGGGTTCCAAGAATTTCTTCCTTAATTGTAAAAATAATAAGCAAAAATAGCTGAGCATAAGACAGTTTCCTTCAGAAAGTACACTGAAACCGACCAATTTAGGCGTGCGTGCGTGCGTGTGTGCGTGTGTCTGTGTGTGCGTGTGCGAGAATAAACACGTCCAACGCTCCAAACAGTGCAGTCTCATATTGCTCATCTTGTTGTCAACCTAAAAATGTGGTTCGTTTTTGACAGAAAATACATTAGCGAAAACTTCAGTTCATCTTTAAAAACAGTTTTTTGTGTGTCCCAGAAGACCAATTCAAAGACTTTTCATCAACTTAAACTGAATGTGAACTTTGTCCTTAAACTATTCTCCCGGTAACTAAGGTTATGCTCTAGTTAACAAGCTCAACATGCCAGTAATGATGGACAAAAAAAAAAAAAAAATGCCATAAGCGTTACGCTGCAGACAAAAACAGGAGTCAAACAGTGCCTGGAAATCCGAACACTTTGGATGGGAACTATTATGTCAGAAACCCATGTGGCTTTTGTGTATTGGAGACTCAACAGAGAGAGTACCAACTGGAAGCCACTTCTGAGTCTGGCAGCTGGCGCTTTGCAGTGATACGGCGGGCCTGTGGATCTATTCCTAGTGGTGTAATTAAAGGGATGAAGAAGAAGTATTGTGGCAAAATGTTCCCTTCAAACAGCTGCATTGTGTGTGCTAGTTTTATCACATCTCCTCTTCATTCGTCCTTAAAATCCTTGACGTAATTATTAGGTACGATGACAAGGTCAAAATACACTCGTGTTTTCATGAGGATATCTTGTCAAACAATGTGTGCATTTTTAGATCGCGAATGGCAGCCATCAGTGGGGTGAGTAGTTCAAGCCACTCTTTTGAGGTACAAATGAAACCGTTAAGTTGGTTTCCAGGTGTTGCCTGTGGCCAATTTAATGACGAATGAACTCGAGCCCTCTCAGCAGGCATATGCTGTTACGAAGTGCAAATTGTCCTCAAGTGGCTACATTTATTTTTACGTGCAGCATAAATGGCAATGATGTTGATGTAGTGTTTTCTTTTTTTTTTTTCTTTGAGAGCAATTTTACAAACACTACCCTAATGAAACAACAAAGACTGAATGTTGGTTGACGCTAGCTTTGAGGACAGGTTAGTTTGTTAACTGATCCCAACTGCAAACATTGTCTGCATCTCCCCTCATTCAGTTTGAATATAAATGAATACGTTTTGTGTGTGTGTGTGTGTGTGTGTGTGTGTGTGTGTGTGTGTGTGTCTCT